CTAAACTAGCTACACACACACACACACACACACACACACACACACAAATAGCGCTCCAAGACCGCAAGGGTAATTTTTATGTGAAATAGTGCAAAATTTCCCACACCTTTCTGCCATATATTTTAACCTGGTAACAAGAATCATAGAGAGATGCCGCCCTTATAGGATGCCAACAGCAGGATAGAGCCAAGTTAAGTGGTTTCCTTTTGTTTAGTAAAAAAGAAAGAAGTGTCGCTGCTGACTTTAATTATCTTTTTATGCAGAGGCCACACAGTTTGCCTTTGGTTGATTCATTTATGGTCCGTTCAAACCTATTTTACAGTTATTTCTTAGATTAAATGAGTAGTACTATTACTGATAAGATTAACTGGAACTTTGGGTCTTTTTTTGTGAAGCTAAGCAAGGAGATAGAGGAGGAAACATGGCAATAACTTCAAAGTTACATCATGAAACTTAATACGTCATAAAATGTAGTGCCTGAACAATTAGGGTAACTTGCCTTCTTAGCTCTTATCTTGTGGACCTCCCAACATTTAGAGTAAGATATTTATTCACAGGGTGATTGGCAGCCGTTGCACTGAATCGTTTTTCCATGAGAATTAAAGGTCTATAGAACTTCTGCATTGGTGAGGGTGAATCTCCAACAGCATGTTGGTTTGGCCAGAGGTGGTGGATCAAATAGGGAAGGTTGAACTCAGCTACCAGTTAAGATGGAGACATCAGGAACTAGTTTATTGCACCTTATATTCTCAGCACATGGAAGACTTTGGGCTAAATTTTAAAAATGGGATCTTCATTTATGCGCATGCAATTTTATATGTGGATTTTCTAGTCCCAAAATTCTGATATTAGGGTTTAAAATTGGTCTAGCAAAGTTACTCATGCAGAAATGGGGTTGAGGACCCTTTTAAAGTATGTTGCTGTCAAGGGATGAGTCAAGAGCAATGTACAACCCTAAATGGAATAACTGATCAGCCTTCTCAGGTGCCCAAAGATAGATGTCTTAGAAGTATATACAATAAAAAATAATACACAGATGTGTAACCAATAGGGAATGATCTTGTGGCACATAGTTTTAACTACCTTAATCTAAACTGGTGATCCAAATGGAAACTTGTAGCTCTAAATCACAGGGTATTGTGGTCATATACAGCCTTTTTTGAAGGAGTTTCAGTCTATAATTCAAACAATGGCTCACAATGAGCCAAACAGATCTATGCAGAGACTAGAATCTTTGTGTTAAATTCCATGATTTTGAGACTTCTTTCATTATGAATCCAAAGGAAGACAAGGAATTAAGACATTTCTCTTGAAATAAAATTTCTGGAAAAAAAAATTAGTTGCAGGACAATCAAAGGGTTTTGTTTCAATTTTGATTTTTTTCTCTTTATAATTGTGATAGGTTATACTTCTCTGATGCCCCCTTGAAGTGAGAAGAGGCACCTCTCTTGACTCAGATATCCTTCCTTGGATGATGAGGCTACTTTAGATCAGAGTCAGAGTTTGGGGTACAGAGTTTGGGCTATATTTCTTATAAACTCTGCTCCCTTTCAGGGCTGTAAAATAGTCCAGAATGAAGAAAAGGCAAAATATTTCCACATCACACAAAGAGAACCAGGTCTCTGTGGCCTCATGCAGGGTAAAGGTCAATAGTCCCTGAAAGCAGATCTGGGCTCCTTATTTCCTGTGTGTCCAAACAATGAAGGCTGAGATCCAGAGCTCAAAAAAAGTCCTTTACTTCCTCAAATGGCCCGGGTGACTGGTGCTTTCAGGCAATTTCCCTAGCGAACAGCCCCTGTTCTCTGTGGCTAGAAAGCTCTATCTTTGCTTGCTCCAGTGTGCTCCCAGACTAGACCAGGATTCTTCGTTTTAAGGGCCTGCCCTTCTCCAGGCTCAGAGGTGTAGCAAGTTGGGACTGATTGTGCCCAGAGGAGTTCCTTAACCCCTCCTTGATTTATGCGGGGAGCCCCCTGCCCCCAATAATATAAGAAATTTGAAACTGAAAAGCAAATTTTGAAATGAAAAATCAAAATGTTCTGTTCCAAATATATATATATATATTATATAAAAAAACAGAACTTTTCAACGTTAACATCTTTCCTCCCCACTGCACATTTTTTTTCTGAAACAAAATGTCATGAAAATCAACCCATTCCCGAGGAAAGTTCTGGTTTCAAAGAAACTGCATTTTCCAACAGATAAATGTTCCATTGGAATATTTTCAACCTGCTTTAGAGACAAACATGCAGTAGAATTTTGTTTCTCACTGTTTACTGTACTGTTTTGTACTGGTTTGTATCTTTACATTTTAAACTTATGGACTAGGACTATAGCATGTTTACTTATTGTTCAATGCTGTGTACCTATATGTATACACACTATAAAATAACAAGAAGAAAAGAGACAACATGATAATTTTTGTGGTAATTCTGAGGCAAAAGCAAACATCTTGGTTCCACAGTACCTTGACGAAATACCAAAAAACAAGTTGAAAATTGGTAACACATTCATAACATTGCAAATGCAAAGTGTTCTGGCAGTACATGGGTATACCATTTTTAACAGTGATAAATTTAATCCTGCTTCAGTACCTTTCAGAATTCTGCCCTACTACTCAGGCAAGAAGTCAAACTCAAAAGTTAAGAAGCACTCCCGAGCCATAATATAATATAACATGTATCAAAAAATAGTTGGCAAAAGGCATTTTTTCCCCAAACCTGGCTCTTAGACTTAAAGTTGAGTTATTCAAGGTTTTAGCAATGTAAGGTCCCTGACTCTAATGATGAGCACATGGAAAAATCCTCATATACACCACTTATAACACTTAGATAACATTTGTTAACCTACCTGCTCTACTGCTGACCTGCAAAGAGAAGAAAAGGGTTGCAAAAATTTGATAGATAAAAAGTATGGTTTCATCAACTGTACTGTGAAATCTGCCTGGAAGACCAATTTGAACAAACATGATGTGAAAAATAACTATTGGTATAGCTTTTTGAAATGTTCTAGTTGGTTTCACAGACAGCTTCAGTGGCACAGGAGCCAACAAACAGAGCTGTAAACAGAGGAGTTTGAGTGGGAGTTCTGTTGGAGGAGAAGGCATTTGTAGAGGCTGGTAGGGGCAGTGTGCTGGGAGAGAAGCTGAGCCCTGATTAAGGGGCGGGGCTTCTCCGATTAGGGGTCCTATAAAGGTAGCCAGCCAATCAGGCAGTAGCACAGACAGCTGCAGCGGTACAGGAGCCAGCAAACAGAGCTGTAAACAGGGGAGTTTTGGGGGAAGACTAGGAGAACCAGGCAGAGGAACAGACAGGCTAGTGAAGGGAGTGTGTGGTGTTCTGTTGCTCGTTGGGGATTTGTGTTGCTGTAGATGGTGGTGTTTTGGTTTGGTTTGTGTTTCCTGGATTAACAGGACTTAGGTGGGAAGGCTATGACAGATACAGAGGCAGCAGTGGTAGTGATCCAAGCAGTGGAAGACACAATGAAGATGACTGGATGTGGAAGCTGTAGTATGTACATGATCCTGGAGGGGGTACCCGAAAAGAGTTTTATCTGCATGAAGTGTCACCTGATAGAGCTGATGAAAGAAAAGATCTGAGGATTGGAGATGCAGGTGGAAACTCTGGTTGAGTTTAGAAGGGGGTTTGAGCAGATCATGGAGCAAAGACATGAGGAGGCTGAAGGGAAAACCTCAGACTTGCCGATGGTAGCAGACCAAAGAACTCTGATGGGAGACTGCTAGGTGAGGAAAGTGGACAGTGGAATCATGTGACTAAGAGAACCAGGCCGAGGAAAAGACAGGCTAGTGAAGGAGAAATAGAGCAAAGGAACAGATTTGCGGAGTTGGAAAATGAAGAAGAGACACAGCAGGTGGTCACTGAAGGTGGGAGGGCAAGGAAGAAGAGAAGAGCAGCTAGTTCTATAGGAAGAGGAGAAGAGTCA